AGGCTGGGGCTGCACACAGGGAGTGACAGGGCTGAGGTGGGGCCACATACACATATGCACATGCATGTGCACGGATATATGGACACTCCACACGCATGCCCCTACTCACACCCCACACACGCACCTCTCCACATGCACGCTCCCCAGGCACTCGCACACATCCTTCCACATGCACACGTATGCACACACACGTGCATATACACCCCTACTTGAACCCCCCCACCCATGCACTCTCCATGTACTCACACATCCCAGACATTCATGTACGCGTACACACATGCCTGTGCATGTTTACCCCTACTCACACCCCCCCAGGCACACTCCCCATGCATTCACACACATCCCACAGGCACACTCGTGCATATACACATGTACACCCATCCACACACACACCCCTACTGGAATCCCCCTCCACATACACACTCTCCATGCACTGCACACACCCCACATGCACATGTATGTGCACACACATGCACATACACGTGTACACTCTTCCACACATACATCCCTACTCAAACACACACACTGCACCTGCACTCACACATATCCCACACATGGGTGCATACACGTGCATATATACTTGTACGTGTACCCCTACACATGCTCACACCTGCTCCCCCCACACACATTTGCACCCACATCCCCCCATACATACACACACACTCATGCACCCCCACACCCTCACCCCCTGCCCATACACACATATGCACATGCATGCACACACACATCTACACATGTACTCACACATACACCCACCCACCAAACTCACTGTCAGCCCTCCACACTCACCCCCCCCCCCCCCTGCACACCCCCATATCCATCCACACCTACACCCACCCCCACAGCAGACAGCCCTGCCTCTTCCCCTGGGGCAGCTCAGCCCGGAGCTCCCGGGTAAGCCTCTGCCCACCACCCCTCTGTGCTGCGGGGCCTGGGGGTCTCCCCTGACCTCCCCCAGCTCCTTTCCCAGGGACGCTCGGGCCTGCCGGGTCCCTCGCTACCTGTGTGCTGCCCTACGAGCTGCCCCCTGCCCGCCTCCACTTCCCCCCCCACGTACCTCGGATGCCTCCGTGCGGCCTTTCCACCCCCTCCATCCACCTCCCTGCCCCCATCCATCCATCCATCCATCCCCTCATCTCTGCACCCCCATCCCTCTAACCCCCCTCTCTGCAGCACCGGGGCGGGAGCAGGGGGCATCTCCACTGCCTTCTCCCTCGGGCTCTGGCTCACACAGCCTCTCTGTTTTCTCCACCG